GACTGTGGGGCTGAGCCTTGGGGGACTGGGGGGATGCAGGGGACTGTGGGGCTGAGCCTGGGGGGTGTGGGGGGGCCTGTGGCTGACCCCAAGGGATTGGCAGGGTGCAGGGATGTCAGTGAGGTTCAGGTGGGTTTGGGGCCACTGGGCCAAGCAGGGGATCTGGGGGTAGGTGTGGGGCTGGGGGTTGTGGGGGATTATAGGTGAGGTGCCAGGCCTTAGAGACATGCAGGTTTGGGGTTAGGGGGTGCAGGGGGGCTGTGCTCACCCAACGGCTCTCCCTGCAGAAGAAAAGCCGTGAGGAGTCGAGCGGCGAGGGCAGCGGGGTGGAGATCCTGGCCAACCGGCCCTACAGCGATGGCCCCGGGGGCAGCGGCCAGTACACCCACAAAATCTACCACGTGGGGTCCCACATCCCCAGCTGGTTTCGGGCGCTGCTCCCCAAGGCTGCGCTGCAGGTGGAGGAGGAGTCCTGGAACGCTTATCCCTACACCCGCACCAGGTAGGACCCGCCGGGGCCATGGGGGTGGGTTGTGGGGCTGTGGACGTGGGCTGTGGGGCTGGCAGTGCCACGGCTCATCCCTGTACCCCCACATTCCCCAGGTATACCTGTCCCTTTGTGGAGAAGTTCTCCATCGAGATCGAGACGTACTACCGGCCGGACGCAGGCCAGCAGACCAACGTCTTCAACCTGAGTGCAGCTGAGAAGAGGCAGAGGATTTTGGGTGCGTACGGCTGGCTCGGGGCTCTGGGCAGAACCCCAATGCCTGCTGGGCTTCCTCCGTGGCAGCTGGGTGTGTGGGTGTGCTGTGACACCGAGGAGCTCGGCATCTGCGGCGCGCTCGGCTTTGCTCTCTCTGCCGGCCCTCATGATTTGGGGACAGCTCTGGGGGAACCCTGGCAGGGGAAGGTGTCCGTGCCCTGAGCTCCTTGCCCCAAGCTCCCTGCCCGCTCCCTTGGCAGCACTGCTAAACTAGAGTTTGCATTAAAAACATTTTGGGGGGCAATGTCGTTCTCTGACTTCTTCCCTTGCCTGTATATTTGTTTGCAGCCCTCTTCATCCTCATGCCAACCTGCTCCTCTCTTTCTCCGTGTCCCAACCCCCATCCTATGTGGTCTGGCATGGATTTGCCTTCCCAGCCCCTCTCTGGGTGTATGTGGGAATTTGCGCCCAGGTCCCGCAGGGCGTTTTGGATCAGGTGGAGAGGGGGGAGCTGGAAAAACATTCCCTGTTTTCCCACTCCCTGCCCTGCTTCCCCTGCTCCCCAGGGCTTGGCTCCAGATCACTCTGCAGGTCCAGGTCCCTCCACCACTTGCTGGGGACACCGGTGGGCAGAACTAGGAGCCCGGGGTTGGGGTTTCTCCCTTGCCGGTGGGTTTGGCACTGGTCGCTGTGGCCTCCCTTTCCCAGCAGCGTCGATCTGGTTGTTTTAGGCGCTGGAGTGCAGAGTGTGACGCGCCGCCTCTTAAAATGGAGGCCTAAAATAGGCACTCGGAGGAAATGATTCATCTGACCTATTTCTCTCATTGGCTCTTGCGGCACCGGGGATGTCCAGCCAGGATGCCGAAGGCTTGGACCGGGAGGGACAAATTCTATCTCTGCCGCCACTGGGCAGCAACCGGGGCTGAGCGGATAGCGGTCAGGGCACGGCCCTGTGCCCGCTGCATGCTGCTCTGCCTGTTTTTCCTCCCCACTGCCTGTCCCGTAGGCTTTCCACAGGCCACACTGTGTCTCGGGTGGCTGCTGCCTGCCATGGGGAGCAGGGCCGAGGTGGGACCGACCCGCATGCTGACCCTGCTGGGATTTCCTCTGCTGGCTCTTGCTTTCACCCCGGTGTTCCATAGCACTGACAGATTTAAACCCCATCTCATGTTTCAAAGGGCAGCAGGGTAATGCAGTCTGGCCTGTCAGGGCAAACCACAGGGATAACCGCGTCCTCACAGATTTTCTTGTGGTGATAAAAGCAAATGGACCCACTGGTCATTGAGTGAGTGAAGCTGCCGGGAGCCGCTCGGGGCCGGCAGGTCCTGTCCCAGCTCCTTGCTGCTGACTGTGACATGCTGCCGTTGCTGCTCTGGGCTGGCCCGTCAGGCGCTGATTTAAGGGCTTGTGTTTTCCACATAATTTGGATGCCGTGAGCGCTGCTTTCCCACACCCTGGAGTGTTTTGCAGGCTGGGGAGGTTTAGAGGGGTTGTGGCACTTTTTGTATCTCAGCTGCCCACCACGGGAAAAGCCTTGCTTCAGTGCGCCTGCCCTGTAACTATTCCTTGCTTTCTGAGTCTTTTGCTCCCTTTTTTTGGCCCAAGCTGGAGGAAGGGGCCAGCAGGCACCTCAGGGGTGTATATGGGGGCAAATAAATGCAGGGTCTGGCACAGCCTGGGGGTGGCTGGCAGGACTGGCTAGGGACAACTTTGTGGGAAGGTCCTGGGGGTCTGTGGGGTGCCCTGGCAGACTGGGCTGGAGGGAGCTGGCCTGAAGATGGGGCTGGGGCAGCCAAACTGCAGGAGACTTGGTGAGGGTTGAGTCTGAGCAGCCCCCCACAGGTCTGTCAGATCATGTTTTTCTGGGTGCCATCAATGAGCCCCCCCTTTAGTTTTGGGGAGGCCACCTTTGTTTTGAGGCCACTTTCATTCTGGGGAGATGGGGCTGTTGCCATCACGCCCCCCAGCTCAACAGAGGCTCCTCCTGGGTGGTTTTTCTGTGCCCTGTACCCTGTTACTGGGGGACCCTCAGGTCTGGGGGGGGCACAGCTGGCAGGGCTCACCACTGCGCTGAGCTGCTCGATCCGGCTTGTCCTCAGCACTGGCCCCAGGGTCGCTGGGGCCACTCTCCCAGCTGCCAAATCTCCCAGCTAATGCGCCAGGAGATTTGTGTGTCAGCCCCGGCTCACCACACGCCTCTGCGTCTCCCCCCGCAGCCCCCAGTGCCTCTTGCAGCCGTGCTGCGCTGCGGGGCACCAGATCAGTCCCCCGTGTGGGGATGGGACGTGTTCAGCTGCACCCAAGAGTGCCTTTGATGTTATCCCTGCAGGATAGAGAGCGTTGGTGTTGGGGCGCGCGGCTTGTGGGAATAATTTGACGCGTGTCCCACTCCGATTTTTGTGCCTTTTTCCCCATTTTTCTGCCTGAGGGGGCTCCCTCCACCTGCATCCCCCCCTGAGCGCTGTTCCCCTCCGCAGACACCATTGACATTGTGCGTGATCCCATCTCCCCGGGGGAATATAAGCCCGAGGAGGACCCCAAACTTTACCACTCAGCCAAGACAGGCCGGGGCCCGCTGGGGGACGACTGGCTGGAGGTGTTTGCCAGCGGGCCCCTGATGTGCGCCTACAAGCTCTGCAAGGTGGAGTTTCGCTACTGGGGGATGCAGTCAAAAATCGAGCAGTTCATCCATGACGTGGGTGAGTGTGGGGCAGCAGTGGCGAGCCCTCGGCACCTTGGCACTGCTTTGGGGGGGGCAGGGGGCAGGTTTAGGGAGCCCCCAGGGCCATGCCAGGCTCGTTCCTCCCCCCTCCCCGTTCCTGCTTCCCCGTCGCAGGTTTGCGGAAGGTGATGCTGCGCGCCCACCGCCAGGCTTGGTGCTGGCAGGACGAGTGGACGGACCTGACGATGGAGGACATTCGGCAGCTGGAGGAGGAGACGGCACGGATGTTGGCGCAGAAAATGGCCAAGTGCGGCGAGGCTGAGGAGCCCCCTGCTGCTGGGCCCAGCCCTGAGGGGCGGCCAGAGCCTGGGGGTGCCAGCGAGCAGGAGGGGGCTGAGGTGCAGGGAGTGGCCGATGCCTCCCCTGATGATACCTTTGCCAAGCAGTGGTCCACCTCTTCCCGGTCTTCCTACTCTTCCCAGCATGGAGGTGAGAGACCAGGTCCTGCATGGGTGGGGTGGGGACCCCCAACGCCCCCTCCTGTTGCTGCTCTTCACAGATGTGTCGGGGGACCCTCTTTTGCCTGGCATGGGTGCCCCAGGGGTGGTCCTGGGTCTCCCAGGGTGGCTTTGGGTGGCCCTGGCCCTTCAGGGGGAGGGGGGGCTCTGTGTGCCCCACGGGTGGCCCTGGGTCTCCTGGGGGGGATCTGGGTGCCTTAGGGGTGGCCCTGGGACTCCCAGAGGGAACTTTGGGTGCCCAGGGGTAGCTCTTAGTCTTTGGAGGGGAGCTTTGGGTGCCCCAGGGGTGGCCCTGGGTCTCCTGGGATGGCTTTGGGTGCCCCATGGGTGGCCCTGGTTCTGGGGGGGATCTGGGTGCCTTAGGGGTGGCCCTGTGTCTCCCAGGGGGAACTTTGGGTGCCCAGGGGTGGCCCTGGGTTTCCCAGGAAGGGTTCTGGGTGAAGGAACAAGGCAGAGCTGTGGGGCAGGAGCGGGGTCTCGCGGTTGGGGGGGCTCTGGGCACTGACCCCATGCTGGTGGCAGGGGGGGTGTCTCCTCAAAGCCTGTCTGAGTGGCGGATGCAGAACATTGCCCGTGACTCCGAGAACAGCTCTGAAGAGGAGTTTTTTGACGCCCACGGTATGGTGAGGCAGTTCCGTGGCTGCAGCTCAGCGTTTTGGTGGCAGGGGCCAGGCACCAGCTGGATGCACCTGGCAGGGGGGGTCTTGGGGTGGGGGTGCAGGCACAGGGGTGTTCCCCACACCCACGATCCCCTCCCTGCCGCCGCAGAGGACCTGTCCGACAGCGACGAGGTCTTTGCAAAGGAGATGACAAAGTGGAGCTCCAACGACTTCTTGGACACGCTGGAACGACCAGTGGAGCTGGATGAGGTGCTGGGTGAGCAGCAGCGGGGGGAGTCCTGGCCCCGAACCCCGGTGTGGGTGTCCTGAGAGGGGGCCTACCCTCACCTGGACACCCCATCCGGGCTCACTGGGGCTGTGTGCTCGCAGGGAACGGAGCCAGCGCCACCAAGGTGGATGGTGAAGGGCTGGGGGTGTCTGGCTTCCCTGAGGTGCGTGCCCAGCCTGGCCCCTCCTTCAAGCCATGCCCCCCACCGGCGTGGGTGCCGACGGCAGCGCTCTCCCTCCCGCAGGGCGGCTCGGCAGAGAGCGCAGTGCAGGCTTGCCGGATCCACGCCCTCTTCCTCATCCTCCACAGCGGCAACATCCTGGACCAGGGAGCGGGCGAGCCGGGCTCCAAGCAGGCGGACGTACAGACGCTGGCGGCCACCTTCGACGCCGTCACCCGTGTCCACTTCCCAGAGGCGCTGGGGCACGTGGCGCTGCGCCTGGTCCCCTGCCCGCCCATCTGCGCCGCTGCCTACGCCCTCGTCTCCAAGTATGGGTGATAAACGCCTGGGCAGGGGGGGGGGGAGCTGCGGGGTGAGGAGGGGACTGTCTCCTTGGAAAACGAGAGTGGTAGGAGGGGGACCAGGGAGGTGGTGACCTCAGAGAGGGACTTTTCTTCTCCCAGTGGGATGGGGATAACAGTGCAGCATTCCAAGCATTGCATGGTGGGACGGGGCCATTGGGGCAGCCCCGTTTATCCCACTCTTGTGTCTTTCTCAGGCTCAGCCCCTACAGCCATGACAGGGACAGCCTGTCCAGCAGCCAGGACCACATCCCACTGGCAGCCCTCCCGCTGCTGGCGACCTCCTCGGGGAGCTACCAGCACGCTGTGGGTGCCGTCATCGCCCGTGCCAACCAGGCATACAGCTCCTTCCTGCACTCCGGCGAGGGGGCTGGCTTCTGCGGCCAGGTGAGGCAGCAGGGAATTTGGGGGAAGCTTTGCTCCGGGGTCCAGCTTGGGGGATCAGCTCTGCTGGGAACTGCTTTTGGAGGGTTTGGGGGCTCCATCCTGGGCACGGGTGCATGTCATTTGCAGGTGGTACTGCTGGGGGACTGCGTGGGCAGCATCCTGGGCTTCGACGCGCTCTGCCAGAGCCGGGCGGGCTCAGGGGGCAGCCGCAGCAGCAGTCGCCGTGGCAGTTTGGTGAGTGCCAGCACCCCGCTGCCGCTCAGGGAAGGTGGGAAAGGGTATTCATGCCCTTTGGGGTACAGGGATGCCAGTGGTGGCTAAGCAGGGTCAGACGCCCCCTGCTTTTTCCCCCGCCAGAGCACGGAGCCTGTTTCCCCCGAGCTGTGCAGCGGCAGGGATCCACTGGCCGATGGGGCAGACGGAGCCGCAGGGTCAGACCAGGCCAGCCTGGAGCTGGGAACGCAGCCATCCTGCCGGGAGCAGGGGGACAGCCACCATCACAGCTCCTCATGCAGGTGAGACCGAGGGAGACAGTCGGTAGTGCCGCGGCTCATCCCCAGGGAGCCCTGCTGATCTCCCCGCTAATTTTTATGCTTTATGGAAAGGGCAAATTTCCCACCTGAACCAGCCTGGGAAGGAGCATTGCATGGGGATTGCTTGACCTGGGGGTGTCTTGTGGAAGCTCCTCTGCTTCTAGCAGTTCCTCCAGGCTAAAGGGGCCATGTTGGGCCCAGCCTTGCCCCTGGGCTAATGGAAGCAGGATGGCACCGGCCTTCCCCATGCCCACTGGCCCTGCTGTCCCAGCCTACAGGCCAGCGAGGCCCCGCTGGAGGCAGAGGCACCACGGACGCTGGATGGGGCGGAGGGTGCCGGCACTCGCCTCGACTTTAAGGTATCCGGCTTCTTCCTCTTTGGCTCCCCGCTGGGGCTGGTGCTCGCCCTGCGCAAGACCGTCATGCCCGCTCTGGATGGTGAGGACCCCTGCCAGCTGTGGTGCCAGCCCCCGACCCTCCCCACAGGGCTCAAGCCCTTGTCCTCCTGCCCCCCCGGAAGCCTGAGCCCCCTGGGACCTCCCCAAAGAAGGTTTGACCCCCTTGCACACCCAACCCTGGCTGTGCGGGTGTCAGTGCATGCCCGAGCGTCCCCTTCCCCACTCTGTGCCAGCCCCAGCCTGTCTCTCGGCTGTCACCGGTGTCCTGGGTTTGCCTCCCCCAGCCTTTCCTCTCGCTGCGTCCTGCTTTCTCCCCTCTCTGGGTGTTGAGTTCCCAGCTGCGCTGCCCCGTGCCCATTGGCCTTCCTGCCACGCAGGCTGGGCAGCCCTGACCCCTCCTTCTCTGCCTCAGTGGCCCAGCTGCGTCCTGCCTGCGAGCAAATCTACAACCTCTTCCACGCGGCTGACCCCTGCGCCTCTCGCCTGGAGCCTCTCTTGGCTAAGGCCTTCCACGCCGTCCCACCGCTGAGCGTTCCCCGCTACCAGAAGTACCCGCTGGGTGACGGCACCTCTTCCCTGCTGGGTGAGCAGCCCTCCATGCTGGGCTGATCCTGGGCACCCTGGGGTGTGTTATGGGCTCTGGTGTCGTGCTGGGGTACCCAGAGCACCCACAGTGCTGCCAGAGCCCAGCTGGGGTGGGGAGAAAGTGATGTGCAAGCCCTGCCTCTGGGGCTGTGCTGGAGGGGGTGTCCCCGGGTGGTTGATGTCCCCAGGGGGGCGCTGGGTGTCCTCACTCATCTCTCTCTGCAGCGGAGGCCCTGCAGATGCACTCTGCCCTGTTTCTGCCCGAGGTGGATGTGGCCGCCCCCCCTACCCCCACCGGCAGCTTTGGGGGCTTCTGGAGGGGCAGCGAGCCAGCAGAGCCCCCCACTCCCGCCAGCACCAGTGAAGTTGTCAAGAGTAAGTGCCACTCCCGCCCTTCCTGTCCCATGCTGTCACCTGGGGATGGATGACGCGGGGTAAGGTCCGGTGACGGATTCATCCCAGCTCTCCCCACAGTCCTGGAGCGTTGGTGGGGCCCGAAGCGCATCGACTACTCGCTGTACTGCCCCGATGCCCTGACCGCCTTCCCCACCATCACCCTGCCCCACCTCTTCCACGCCAGCTACTGGGAATCCTCCGACGTGGTGGCCTTCATCCTACGCCAGGTACTGCGGGTGCGGCGGGGCGGGCAGTGTGGCTCACAGGGGCTGGTGGAGGCTGAGCCGGGGCCGTGCCGCTCGGCAGGTGATGGAGAAGGAAGCACCACAGCCAGCGGAGAGCGAGGAGAGCTCGATCTACAGCCCTGCTATCCCCCGGGAGAAGTGGCAGCGTAAACGCACCCAAGTGAAGATTCGGGTATGTGCCCCGTGGCTAGTGGAAGCCCAACCCTTTGGTGGGGCAGTGTCGGGCTCTGGCCATCCCCGTGGGGCAATGCAGCTGGGAGGGTTTGGTCCTGTCTGCCAGGAGGTTGCCGGGACAGTCCTGCAGCCCAGCGGGGCCCGTGTGTCCCCGCGGGGGCTCCCTTGGGTGCCACCCGTGGCCCTGGCACAATCCGCTGAGCCCCTCGTGTCCCTGCAGAACGTGACAGCCAACCACCGGGCCAGTGACGTGATCGTGTGTGAGGGCAAAGCGCAGGTCCTCAGCGGGCGCTTCATGTACGGGCCCCTGGATGTGGTGACGCTGACTGGGGAGAAGGTATCGCTGGGCTCACGGGTGCCACCAGGACCCCGTCAAACAGGGTGGGGATGTCCAGGAGGGGACATGGGGCTGGTGTCACCCACGGCAGGGGAAGGGATGTGGTGAACAGGACCCCATAGGACCTTGTGGGATGTGGGGAGGGTTGTAAGGGCTTGTATGTTGAGGACATGGCAGGATCTGGAGGTTCAATTCATGCTCGGCCCTTTTCCCTCTCTCAGGTTGATATCTATATCATGACACAGCCGCTGTCAGGGAAGTGGCTGTACTATGGCACCGAAGTGACAAGTGGCAGCGGGCGTCTGACCTTCACCATCCCTCCAGACAAGGCTCTAGCCATTGGCATCTACCCCGTGCGCATGGTGGTCAGGTGAGATGTGGGGGTGCAGTGCCATCTCGGTTCCTCTTTGTTACAACCTAGACTGTTAGCCCAGAAAGCCATGAAGATTCTGTGATCCCCTCAGGTTAAATTAAGGTGAAATGACATCAGACCACCAGTTCAAAATGTTTTACCTGCAGTAGAAACAGCTTAAACTTGGAAAAGGATAGTAAGTGATGTGATCTCTTATAAATCTATAAGAAAGAAAAGAAAGGAAGGAAAATTAAAAAGAGAGAAAGAGAGTCAAAGAAATCCAGATCATCACCCCAGGTTCCAGTGTTGTCTCAGGCCTGGGAATCTTGGGTGGTGGATGCACACCCAGCAGAGTTTTCTGCAGCCTTTTAAATTCATCTTATCAGCTGATTTGCATACGAGACTAGGAGAGGCAGGTATTCGTCAAACTCATTTCCATGAGAGATGAGGAAAAGGTGGAATACAGGCTCTGCAGGTGCACTGAGGGGGAATGGGGTGCCTTAACCCTTCTCCCAATTGAGTCAGTGGTCACAATCTCCTGCTATCACTCTCACCTTTTCCTCAGTTTTTGTTTCTTGGGCAATTATCCAGTCATCAGCTCTGTTTGGTGTGGGCTGTTTCTCTCTTTAAGCAATCTTTTAGCTCTTCTTCAAGGCTATGGTAGTAAAAGTGTAGGCATTAACCCGAACATATGGTTTTACTCAGTCTACATCTCCCCCCTTCGAGGCTTATCTAGGGAATTTGGCAATAAACCGCAAGGGAGCGGAGCCGTGTGCCCTTCGATATGCTCTGTGCTTCCCGCAGATAATTAGACTAACCACAAAGGCCACAGTTTGGCCTTGAGGTTTTCTGTGTTGATAAAAGTTTGAAGCAATTCCTTCAGTTCCTTACGCTCCTCCAGCCCCTTCGGCAGAGATCCATCCGCCTGCCCCCCACCATGGCAGAGCCTCCCCTGAGCCTCCCCGCTCTCCCATCCCAGGGGGGACCACAGCTATGCCGAGGCGTACCTGACGGTGGTGGCCCGGGGCACCGAGTCGGTTGTGTTCAGCATCGACGGCTCCTTCACCGCCAGCGTCTCCATCATGGGCAGCGACCCCAAAGTGCGGGCGGGGGCTGTCGACGTTGTACGGTAGGTGCCCTCCTTCAAATAAGGGTGACAATCTCCCCCTCTTTTTGTGGTGCGGTGACAACCCAGTTGGGGTAGCGGGGGCACTGGAGCAGGCTGCCTTCCCAGGGGTGAGCTGGGGGATGTCCCACTGTTCCCTCGCCCAAAGAGTTTTCACAGCATCGAAAACAAAAACAGCCCGCTCCTGGTTTTGGTCCTAATGCCTCCTGTGATACCCTGCAGCTCTGCTGTGCCTTCAGCCTTGCCAAAATCCCTGGGAGGAGGAGGGTTTTGGAGGCAGCACCCATGTGTGATGTGTTGGGAGATGCTTGGTGGCTTCCTGCCAGCACGACTGTCCCCTCACGGGCTCCTGGCAGCAACATGTGTCCCCTCATAGGCACTGGCAGGACTCGGGCTACATGATCATCTATGTGACGGGGCGGCCCGACATGCAGAAGCATCGCGTGGTGGCCTGGCTCTCCCAGCACAACTTCCCCCACGGCGCAGTCTCCTTCTGCGACGGGCTCACCCACGACCCCCTGCGCCAGAAAGCTGCTTTCCTGCAGAGCCTGCGCACCGAGGTGGGGACATGAAGGGGTAGCACGGGCTGTGCTGCAGCCCAGGGGTCAGTGGAGATGCTCAGAGCTGGCCCACACTGCGCTGGCGGAGCTGACCCTCTCTCCCAGGACCATGCTTGGGGCACAGAGGGACAGCTCCCATCCTGTGGGCGTTGCAGCCACCCCCCCCACACACACCCCCCCCCCCATAAA